TCCAGGTCATCCCACTCGGTGTCGGCGACTACCTCATCATCTCCTTCCTCGTCGTAGTCATCACCACTATCGGTTTCCTCCCCTAGCTCCCGTGCACGTATTTTCTATTGTTTCTTCTTCCTCTGGTCCTCCTTCGCTTTCCTCTACCGCTCGGCCTCGGCGCAGTTCGCCGCCGTCATGGCCAGATCCTTCGGCAGCGGAGCCGGATGATCCATAAGGGCGAGGTTCCTCGACTGGTCCCCCACTCTCGATGTCAGTATCAAGGGGTTGGAAGCCCAATTAAAGAAGAAGGCATGAGGAAGAGAAAACTTACAAGGACAATATACCCTGGTTCTGGCCGCATCGGAGGATGTCCTGGCACCAGATACACAAAATCGAGGACAGCATCGGCGTCATCCCGAGAAGGCTCCATCGCCTCCTTGATTCACTACGCTACTTCTGAGGGGGAGAGCGCTCCCTCGGCGAGTGTCGTCCTGTCAAGTGACGCCCCGGGCGCCATCATGTGCAGGGGAAGCGCGCGCCTCATCAGCGGCGCCACCCTCCTCGTGTGGTAGGCACCGATGATGCCTGACCCCTTCACGCCCCTCTCCTTCAAGATTTGGATGGCGGCGAGATGGTCCTGGATCCTCTTCTTGTCTTTCTCCAGGACTCCCCACTTCCTCCACGAGTCCAGGACCTCTTCGATGAGGCGCCCGGTGAACGCTGGCAAGGGGGCGGCTGCGTCGTTCTTGACGTAGAACCAATGCGAATGCCACCTCTTGTTGGAGGTCGACAGACGCATCAGTGGGTACTCGCTGACCCGGTTGTTGCGGAGCTGAATGCTGACGTATCCCATCGGCATGTTCAGCTCCTACCTCTTCTCCCGCTTCTTCAGGAGGGTGACGGCGATGAAGTGCCGCCACAGGTCGAAGTGGGGACTAATCCTCAGGAATCCCTCACATAGGGCGACGAACGCCGCAATGTGCTGGATTTCGTTGGGATTAAGGTGCTACAGCTCTACCTTGTAGTAATGCAACAATCCCCGAAGAAACTTGTGGGCGGGGGTGGCAAATCTCCGCTCATGGAAGTGAGCGAAGGACACGACATAGCCATCGGGCGGCAACGGTGCATCCTCGTCGCCGGGCAGCCGCCACTCCTCAGCGGTGGTCCGCGCGCAAAGAAGACCACGGCGAACGAGGCCCTCTAGGCGCTGGAGGGTGATATCAGAGCGGCACCATGGCTCCATTGGAGGATTGGGGTGGATGGATGCGAAGTCAACGACGGCTGAGACGCGGATGCGAGGAGCTTGGGCGATTGGCGGCGGAGGTTGTAGATGCGAAGGCAAGAAGACAGAGTATGAAACCTTGGGGGCGAACCCTTAGGTTATATAGGGGCGACACATGCGAGGAAAACAACCGTCCACCTCCATCTCCGTGCCTGCCATGACTTGACCCAACGTCACGATCGTGGGATATGCGCACGCAATCCCTATCCTTTCCCTCAGAAGACGCGTCGGTCGTTTTGCCTCCCCGGGCGGACCGGGACTCGTTACGAATAAGAAGGATATGGATCAAAAAAGCACCTCTACAGCCTGTCTGGGCCCAGGAGGTCGACAGTTGGCCCATCAATGGGTTCGACAGCCGCTCCAAGCCGTCCTACGATAAGGGATGGCAAGGCATGGGCCCCGCCAGCGATCAAAACCCATGCGCACGAACGCCACATGCGTCTTGGCCCACGAATGAGTCACAGCCAGGCCGGCCCTTGCTGGATCCCCGCGAACGGGATACCGGGACTCCAATTGAACAAACCAGTTAGCAAAACACCGAATCTCAAAGCCATACCCGCGAAGGGTCCGAATCACCCCCAGGTGATTCTATCCGAATCACCCAGGGGCTCGGGGGCTACACCCACCGGGTGCGCACGCGCGCACCCGCTGGCAAGTCGAAAAAGCCTCCAAAGGAGTGTTCCACTCCTCCGTATGCTCAGGGGCTACACCCACCGGGTGCCCTCACGCGCACCCACTAGCAAGTTAAAAAATCCCCCAGGCGATTCTACCCAAATCACCCGAGGGCTCAGGGGCTACTGTCGGGGACCACATACTAGGGTACCTGAAGAAGAGGAGCTGATAACCATCAACGTTGATACATCCGAACAAGACAAGACCGCGACTACACCTCTTGCCCGATGTCCGAGGGATAACTCCGTCTCGTCCGACCCCCGAGGGATGGCACCGCATCGTCTGACCCCCGAGGGTTGGCTCCGCCTCGTCCGATCCCTGAGGGTGGCTCCGCCTCGCCCGACGTCTAAGGGCTAGCTCCACCTCGCCTAACGTCTGAGAGCCAGCTCCGCCTCGCCCGATGCTTGAGGGTGGCTCCGCCTCGCCCAAGGTCTAAGGGTCGATTCCGCCTCGCCCGACGTCTGAGGGCCGGCTGCACCTCACCCGAGGTGTGAGGTTCAAAACTCGAAGAACGAATGCGAAAGAAAGGTTCTGCTCCCTGCCGAACTAGAGAGTGCAGACTGTCCGTACCTCAAGGGCAGACTGTCCGCGTCTGGAACGAACGAGCGTACGGATGAAGGGAGCAGTCGCGACTCAGGCGATGGGTCTGCTCACCGCTGAGGGCACGGGCGGCGAGCGCCACACGACGGTGCGAGCTCGGCCTGGCAATGACGAAAGGCAGAGCACGGGTCTGCACGTGCTTGGTGCCTGGGAGCGCTCGCCCACGGATGTGCTCGACCTGAAGTCGCACGCAAGCTGAGAACGGAGGGAGAGACGACGAGCTCCTAGGCGAGCGGCCAGCCACGAGCACCCACGGCAAGTACCGCTCAAGCGAGCTCGCTTGGTGCCCAAGCACCTAGCGCTGGTAGGACTGCCGCTGGGCTACTGGACTGCTGCACCATCTTGAAACAGACACGAACACACGAACAGAGAAGAAGCAAGGGAACGAACAGAAGGGGAAAAAACGAGCAGCCGGGGCATCAGATCAAGCAGCCTGCCACGGAGACCTACAGCCAGCGCCGCTCAAGAGAGCTCGCCGGGCGCCTAAGCGCTCTGTGCTGGTAGCGCTACCGCACGGCACAGCAGCCCCCAAGCTGAACCTCACGAGCAACAAGCAGGAACAGAAATGCTGAGCACTACGAACAGAGAAAAAGGCAAAACTAAAATCAAAAGAAACTCCATCAAAACTCAATGATTCGCTCTCAAATTTTTCCCAGATGAAATTCGAATAGGAAAGATCCTATTCCCAAAAGATCATCCCCTGAAATTGATTCCAACTCTGGGAAATTGAGATCGAACCAAGACGAAAAAGGAGAAAAACTCAAGAACACAGTAAACGAACGAAAATCACAGCTTCAATCGACGAATACCAGAGGACAACCGGAGGATTCGGGCCTCCATTCTCAACTCGAATCTCAGGTTTGATTACACAAATTTGGAATTTATGGTTCTCTCTCAAGAACGTTAAAGGAGGGAAAAACCTAGGGCAAGCAAAAATGAAAATGGGAGAGGTAAGTGAGATGGGGGCTCCCTCGTCCTATTCAACTGGGCTATTACACAATCTCAGTTTCGCTTCTAGATATTTTGAGTCGAACAACTTAACCCGAGGACGTTATGGTCCAACCTGATGTAATATTCATCCGACGGCCACCGCGCCCTTCATGAGATAGGTTCGCCTCGACGCGAACTCCTCGATGCCGCCACGTGCCATCCGTTCCTCCTCGGAACCTCCGCCCAGGATTTGAGGCCCAAACCCGTGAAATCGACCACCGATGGTTTTGAAGCCCAAACCACCAAACCGCCCGCGAGTAGCGTAATCCATACGCGTCCCCCGCCACTCGACACGTGTCACCGCCGTCCTCGACCGGCCGGCCGCCAAGTCCTCCTGATCCCCGCTCGACTCGCACGTCCACCGTCTTGACTCGGTCAACATGGTCACTCCCATGTACATTTGCTCTTGTCGATGTCCCAGATGTCAGCCACCGCGGCTGGTCACCCGGCCTCCTGGTCCATCAGTCCAAGCCTCACGTTCGTCCTTCACCGCTCCCGGTCCGTCAGCACGGCACGTCTCAACTTGACCTTCACCTTGTCATCGACCACCGCATCCGAGCTCCACACCTGCACACCACAAGCCAAGAGACATATCGCACAACCCAACTCACGCCATGGTTTGCTCACAAACTCAAACTAGGTCGTGGATCATGTTGACAATCACTCATCACAAAACGAACTACAAGGGCACATATCGACCTTGTGTTCGCAGGACGACACATAGGACAACTCCCAACTAGAGTAGGGATGCAAGCAGGTTGACCCACACAACCCACAAAGTTAAATCTATATGTGGGTTCGTAGACCAACCATTTGCATTCTACCCTAGAGGCGACTACAAAAGAGAATAAATGAAAAGCCTAATTTAGAAAAAAAATCTATTGGAGTGTCTATATTAGTTAGTTCAGAGAGCCAATTTAGAAAATCCAAATTTCCACATGCTCTTGGAGTTGCTAGAGGTTGAAAAATAAAACAAACTCCTACGATCTAGTTTATGCATCTAAATTTAAAGAGCCCTAGGTAAGAATTCTCTCAAAGGTACGTGTTAGATTCCAGTAATGTTTAAATAATTAAATTTAACTTTATAGCAAGAGGAGAACTTCTAAATCTAGATATACATTTATGTCTAGATATACAGTAAAATTAATGTATCTAGAAAATCTAAAATATTTTATAATTTGGAATGGGGTGAATACCACGTTGAAGTCCGAATCAGTTTTAGTAAAAAAAAAAAAAAAAAAAAAAAAAAAAAGCCCCGCAAGCTGCACACAGCAGTTATGTATTATGAAAACATTATTTATAATTATAAAGTTGGCAATCTCTTTATGAAGATGAGTTATTATATATTATGAAAGCATATTTATGCAGTTCCTCCAGCTCGGGGAGTCTATATAAAGCCAGGCATCTTGGCCATCTTCTCCAAGCTACCAGGCCAGCCAACAGCCATCTTCAGCGACCCAGCAGGGGCATCGAGATGGCCACCAGCAGCCCCGTCCCTTTGGTCTCGCAGGTGCAGCGCAAGCCACAGACATTCACCCCAAGCCCATGGGGTGACTTCTTCCTCCGGCACATCCCATGCACTCCATCAAAGGTACCAACAAGCCGGCCACCATTGTTCCCTTTCTATAAAACTTGAGCATGTCATCTTAAATTTGCTAGCATCTACGCATTGCCTGGCCGTGGTAAAAATTAAATGGTGAATCAAAAAATGGTTCTTGTGCGCTACATAGTTCCCCTTAACACCAAATGGCCCATTGCAGCTCTTGGCAATGAAGGAGAGGGCACAGAGAAAGAAGGAAGAAGTGAGGCAGATTATACTTGAAACCGTTGCCTCCTCCAACCTGGTACGGAAGCTGGAGCTCGTTGACACGCTGCAACGGATCGGGGTGGACTACCACTACAAGGAGGAGATCGATGATTTGCTTCGCTCTGTCTACGACGACAAGGATGGAGGCTCTGACAATCTCTACATCACCTCACTGAGATTCTATTTGCTCAGGAAGCATGGGTACGGAGTCTCTTCGGGTATGTAATTAAGATCATCAACTAATTAAAACTAGTATATGCATGTTTCCTTTCATCGATGCTAATGCTAAATGTGTGTTGGGTGAACTAGATGGTCGTGTGAAATTTTGAGCCGTGTTGAATATAATGTTCGATTACGTGTGCAGATGTGTTTGAGAAATTCAGGGATGAGCAAGGGAGCATTTCAAGTAATGATGTCAGCTGCTTGCTGATGTTGTATGATGCTGCGCATCTGAGAACTCGTGGGGAGATATACTTGACAACATCGTCACTTTCAACAAGAGCCACTGGTACAGAGATGGCCTTTACTCTCGGTGAAGAACCTCCTCTAGTCCTGGTTCCCCACCCGGGAGCAAGCATCCGGGACTAAAGGGGTCCTTTAGTCCCGGATCAGGAACCGGGACTAAAGGAGACCTTTAGTCCCGGTGGGTAACACCAACCGAGACTAAAGGTGCCTCCTGACATGCCACGAGGCCGGCACCCTTTAGTCCCGGTTGGTAATACGAACCGGGACTAAAGGTTTTTTTTTTTTTTCTTTTCTTTTCATTTTTTTGTTTTCTTTTCAAAATAGGTTTTCAAAGTCGTATTGTACGCTGCTAATAATACATTTATATGCGCGTATAGTATGTTTCGGTTCAAGCACAATGAACGTATTAAATCACACAATTCAAGCATACAAATATATATATATATATATATATATATATATATATATATATATATATATATATATATATATATATATGCATGCATGCATATATATATATATATATATATTTACATGCATGCATGCATATGTGTATTTTACATTATATTATTTCATGTGCATATATTACAAAAGATTGCATTACAGTTGTTATGATATAACAAGTTTTCTCTCATCCTCTAGCTTGGCTTCCATGGCAGTGTTGGGTCGAAGTAGAACTCGCCCTTGGAATCGATGACCTGGTCATTAAAAAATCCGGCTATAGACTCTTAAATTGCTTTGATTTAGTCTTGCAGTATGACCTTTTCCTCCAACCATCGAGCCTACAGGTTTGAATTAAAGGAAAATAAATTAATATATGTACATACATATATATATATATAAAGACATAGTAACACAATCAATAATAATAATTAAATGAATATATAGTGTATTTTTAACGTACTTTGAGTCTCTCTGTAGGAGTCTCTCTGTAGGAGTTCTTTGGAAGACCTCCTTGATAAACTTGCAAACATAGTAACCACAGTAGTTGTTTTCCTGTTCATGCCTCAGACACCACTTTACGAGAAAAAGATTTGTCATCCAATCTGGTGATCCGGTGAAAGCTATATGTTTAATTAATAAAGATGATGCGATTTAGGGGACTTACTCTCAAAGGGATTACATTCAGTGGTGCTTTGTATTTTCCCATGTGTTGCTTCTCAATAAAGGTTTTCCAAACACTGCCCAATAAAAAATTTGCCATGTCATCAGATATAGTTAATCATCATGTTTGTGTGTATATATAGTTGCTAGAGATACCAAAATTACCTCTGGATAATATCTATTATATCTTGGTAGTCTTGTTGTGGTTTTCTCATCGAGTCATAGATTATCAAGTGACTTTTCACCAGATCGATGTCCATCAATATCCAGTGATTGCTGCATGTGTTTATAGGATATAACGCATAACACTCATTAATTAACTAGAATCAACATATGAGCCATTAAGGATGATCGACATTATTAACACTCACTTGAAGTTGTAGGGAAAGAGTATATCCTTCTTGTGGCGTTGGTTCACTAAGAAGTTCATGAGGTTACTCTCTGACTTAGACTTCCAATTAGGCTTTGGAGTAACTGGGTCTTTGAATACTATATGGGGATTAACAAAACCAATTTCATTGCAGCCTTCCTTTCTGCGCTCTGTCATTGTAAATCTGCATATATATAGTACTTGTTAGGATACTTTATATGCATATACACACATATGATGAGTTTAATAATAGATCAAAAGAATTATTACTTACCGGCAATAGTAGCTAATGATAACTTTGTCCAGAGAGGTCAGGTGGCATAGTTGATGAAATTCTGCAAAGTCAACATACATAACATCATCGCCACGAAACCAATGTTCGTCTCTAATTCTGACACCAACGCAGAAGTCTCCACCGGTAGACACCTGCATGTACCACTTGTTTAGCAGGTACATTTGCGTCCCCAGATCACCTAAGGCTTGAGGGTTGTATAGACTCTGGCCTAGTACAATTTTTTTCTTCCAAATATGAACCTCCGCCGCACTCTCAATGTTTCCATCACCAAACATCTGGTAAAGGTCGAGACCAGTCACTTCAATAAATTCACCAAGGTGGTCCAAATCGACATCCGGAGGTATGTTTGCTTGATGCATTAATCCTAAATTCGAACCATATTCATTACCAACAACTAGCGGGGGGACTGATTGGTGCGATTGTTGTCCGAGTTGTGCAACTCCTTTCCCCGCCCGCTTTTTTTTTCGTGTGCCTCAATTGACTTGGTGAGAGTGCGGTCATAGTCCGTTAACGTTGATTTGGACTGACTTACGAGATTCCTTGTTGTTGTTTGGTAAGAAGCCACCTTTTTCTTAGAATATCCGGAGCTACGAAGAAGTACGGTTTCTTGGGTTTCTCCTTGCTTCTTGATCCTTTTAAGTTTGTCATAGAATCTGGACATATCTTTTTTTATATGCATCGCCACTTCTTCCTTCTCTTGAGATATTATTTTGGGAATAGCCCTTGGTTTCATAGTGGCTTTCTTTGCCAGCGGGGACTGGTTCTTTGTTTGCGGGGCTGGTCTCTTGCTAGTACTTAGCTTCTTGGTAGGCGGGGCGGGGAGGCGTTGGAGACCTCCTTGGAGGTGGTGGTGGTGGCGTTGGAGACCTCCTTGGAGGTGGCGGCTCATGGCGTTGGAGACCTCCTTGGAGATGGTGTGGATGCAGCCTCGCCTTCCAACACATTGTCATCGACTGAGCACTATGATGATCTGGCGATTGAACAATTAGATTTGAAGTTGGGGAGGATCTGCTATAAAAAAGGAATGACATATTATTATGAGCAGATTGTTAATTATTTAATCCAATATAAATTAATGATGTAGTGTTTTCATCCGCACCTATGGTGAGGTAGTTCAGAGGAGGTGGAGGCGACATCCGGGAATGATGATGTAGCGCCATGCCATAGAATGAATGTCTTCTCGCTTCTCCTAGAGTCTTTCGCCATCACCTCCGGGAATGTCAAGAGGCAAATCACTAAAACCTTTTTCAGCTTTATCTACCGAGATGGTAGCATATCCTTCTTGGATTATATTCCCATGAATCCTTGGTGTCTTGGTTCTGTCGATAGGATTAACAAGACCGATAGCCACCTTGATTGTGGAATTCCCCTTTGGAATGTGTAGCTCACATGATGTACAAGGTTCAGTGACGTCATCCACAGGGAAGCGCAGTCCTGTGTCCCCTTGATTTGGTATCTCCATGGAAGTGCAACTGCTTTTCAACTGAACAGATTGGCTAATGTTGATTTCTGGCTCTGATGCCTGCTTGCTTGCACTCACTGCTATTTGCACTTGCCTTCTGATTTCCTCCTGCATTCTCGCTTCAAGGTTTTTTTTCCCGCTCCTGTGCTTCACGCACCGCTTCCTCCAACCTCTAGAGCCGCTGTGCCTCTTCTTCCTTCTTTCTCTGGCGGCTTCTATAGGAAGGTCTGTCCTGAGGGAATCCATGCTCCCATGAGACACTACCTTTGCCTCTAGTTCGGCCACCGTGTTCAATAGTCCCGATGGCGTATGTCAGTTCATCCTTCTCTCTGTTGGGCCTGAACGCACCACTAGCAGTAGCTCTCTGAGCATAAAACAATCTTTCTGCTGCTTCTTCCAGTCTTACGCCATAAACGCACTTCCCTGTCTCCTGGTCCAGTGTTCCCCCATGAGCGAAAAACCAATTCTTTGCACGCTCTCCCCACTCGAGTGATTCTGGTGTGATACCCTTGGTAAGAAGGTCTGCTTCCATTTTGTTCCACTTCTTAATGGCAGTCGGGTAGCCACCTGATCCCAAGTTATGGTGGTATGTCTTCTGTTGGGCATTACGTTGGTTCTTTATCACCTGACTCACACTCTCTTCTGACGTCTTATACTGTACAAACTCATCCCAATAGGGCCTCTGCTTTGAGATCGGGCTTGGGACAGTGAAATCTGGTGCTATGTTCTTCTTGACATACGTCGTGTATAGGTGTTTCTTCCAAGTCTGAAACTGGGTGGCCATCTTCTTCATTGCCCAATCCCTAACTCGCTCCTTCAATTCATCACCATCTATTATATCATCATAACCATCTGTTTGGAGCATGAAATGTACCAAGACATCTTTCCAAATTAACGTCTTGTCACGATCGGAGAAAAACTGATATGAGGAGCATTGGTCTTCTTCTTCCATTCGCGGGTACTGATCTGGAGCCGGTCCCATACAAGGTAACCACAGTGGTGCATGAATTTCATTTTATTTGGCCCCCCGGTTCGCCTGTATCCACATTGAACTCCGAGATGATGAAGCGGCCCTCCAATGGCTTTTTGGGACCTCAAACATTTTTACTCTTCGTTGTAGTTGTTGATGTCGATCCAGAGGGCTACAAAACATAAACATTATTTTTAATGTCATGAGCACACATAAAACATGATAATATATATAGCTAATAATAAAAAATATATACTTGGCCAATATGTTGTTGCTCATTTTGTTCAAGAGCTAAGTACTGACTCCCATCATCTGCATCCACTTGCACGTTATTTTTAGCACCATCATCGCCGGCAACTTGAGTGCCAGTGTTGATCAAATTCATCATCAACTCCTCCTCATCCATGTTTATCAGATCAGCCATCTAGCTTCAAAAAACAAAACCAATATATAGTACGTCAAATCTTTGCTATACATAAACGGCGAACTACGTCGGTACTAGGGCGAATTAGGGCTATACATAAACGGCGGAGGGCGAATTGCGTCGGTGACTAGGGCAAACCACGTCGGTGACATCAACAACGCGGTTTGCCCTAGTCACCGACGCAATTCGCCCTAGTGTGATTGTTTAGCGTTAACGATAACAATAATACGAATGTTGATCGACTAGGCCATGAGAGAGGGCGGTGTGACGAGAGTGGCGGTGCTCCACTCCGCTATATATACCCTAAACCCTAGGG